CTACTTTCATTCTCCAAATTTGCTAACTTTGCCCAGAATATGATGGAAATCATGCCCCTTTTTGTTAATAAAGGAATCTATTGAATTTCTTGTTGTTTGTTATTTTCTCCCCAAAAGACTTCTAATGGATTACAGACCTTTCCTTTCTAAAAGAGAGGCTGCTAGAAATGAAAATAATGATGGTTAAGGTCAATAATTTGCTTTCCTCCTACCCACCATACCATATACCCATTGTTCTGTATGGTTTCTAACTTTCTGTCTTAATTTTAATGTATTCTTTCTGAGTTTTAAGTGTTTCATCATAGTGACTTGGAGTTTTTCCAATCCCATGATTATCTCTCTATTAAAGCCTTAATACAAAAAGAAATTAAAAAAAAACAGACTGTTCATTACTTTGATTTGTAGCAAAGAAAGAATGGAACATTACTGTTAGAGTGTTTCGAGAAACCATATTTACATTTGCATCAGCTCAATTTAGGCGCCTGATTAGGTTGGGTGTTATGATGAAGATGTACTTACTAGTCACAGGGAAGTGGTGTGGTCTAGAGTAATGAGTAAGGAACTTTGAGTCAGGAGCCCTGAGTGCTATTCCTGGCTGTGACTGGCTACCTCTCTGACCTTGATCAAGTCTGTCTCACTGCCTTAGATCACTGCCTTAGACCCTAATAGCTCCCATCTGCCTCACAAGCTGCCATGACAATTGATAACCTGTATTGTATTGCATGTGGGCTATGGGGTAGAGAAAGGGAGGGAGCAGTCACAAATGGAATTGGCGAGGAGATTTCTGCTCCTGTACTTCTTCCCACTGGCCTATTTAGAGCCAGCATCTGAGAAGTGGGTTGATTGCTTGGATCTTGGTCTGACAGGACTTGAGGTCATGCTAAGAGATTGGTCCATGGGCTTTAAAAGCAAACCAGTTGGGTGAGATGCCTAAGGCCATTCTGTTACTGGGAAAGTTTAACAAGACTGTGTCATCTCTCTTCTTGATTGTTCATTTCCTCACTGGGACCAGAAATCTGGCAATGATTGGCCTCTCTAAGACATCCTGGGGAAGGCTTTTTCAGATGACAATACCTGGTTTTAGGAAAAAGATACCTGTTGTAACTCTAAAACCAGCTAACTTCCCTCTGGTAATCCATTAGACCAGAAAGAGTGTGCCTTAGGGAAGATTCTTTCATTCTTCAATTGAGTTTCTCTCCCAACAGAAAGATGAATTAAAGGAGGAGGTAAAGATTAATATGTTTTAAAAAGGAAAGCAAGAGAGCAATTTTTCCCTCTCTAATATAGGTTGTCAAATGCTAAGCTCTCAGCAGACAACATAACAAAGATAGCATGCCTGGCTCTTAACTCATTACCAATCCTGCATCAGCTAATATTTGTTGAGCACAACCTAGTTAAAATTGGTAATGCTTATTGAGCATTGTTCTAAATTCTCTACATCAATTTAATCATTTAATTTTCACATCAATCTACTAGGTGGGCACTATTATTGATGTTTTGATTTTATAAGTAAGGAAAATGGGCAACAAAGAAATTAATTTGTCCAATATATGTAGCGCGCTAATCAGATGCAGTTCCAAGAGAAGACCCCCAGGTTACCTGGCTCCAGAACTTTCACTCTGAAACACTTACACTCACATTAATACAAACTTGTACTGGAGAGAGCAATAATTTTTGATGGCTTGTGGTAAAAGAGGCCAGAGCTATTCTAGAATGACCAGTCACATCCCCCAAGTGAGCACACCTTGATACCCAAATAAGAATGGGTAGAATTTGGCATTTGACTACAACATTGATATACAATAGTTACAATCTGTTCACACAGCTGTAAGGAAGAGGGTCTCTCTCCTGATGTCAGAGAGAGCTTCATATGATCCTGCACCAAATATTTCAGCCTCATTGGAAAGTCTTCTCCGTCCCCACCATAGTTCATCCCCTTATATGGAAGGTACAAGTGGATACCATCTGATTTCTATGAGCCACTGTTCAAGACCCGATAGTTTCCAACAAAGCATGCCTGACATTTCTCTGTAAGCTTTTTCTTCCTTTGCCCTTCTGAACAAAATGCCCTTCTGATCATTGAGGATAACCTTCAATGTATATTTTTCCAGCTTGCTGTAACCTGCTCTAGTCAGAATAAGCAAGGTCCTGAATCTTCCAGAGGGATTTACCGCTAAAGGCATAGGGGTATAAAGGCATCCTATGCCTTTAGGGGTAAATCCCTCTGGAATAGCATTGAGTCCTGCACAGGCACCCATGGATCCACCATGTTGAGTCATAACTAAAGGCCACAATCCCAGAATGCTCCTGGAGCAGCCATGTATGACCATTCCAGTCACCCCACCACAGGGTCACAAATCAGATGCCTCATTCCTGTCAGAATGACTGGTTACTGTTTCCCCAAGTACAGGTTCATGTGCAATAACTGACCCCAGAGAAACAGAACAGCACAGTGTGAGAGCTTGTCACATTAAATGATCAGAAAACCATTACCAACTGATGGAACGGTTGATGGTGCAGAAGTGATTACAGACACTCCCCACGGGCCAGCTCCGAGCTGCCACCCAAGCGTTTGGTGGCTGCTGGGCTTGTGGCAGGGGCTTGATGAGAAGAAAAATCTATCGAGGGGAGAAGGAAATGGATGGTCTATTCCCTCTCATAACTTTAGCCTTTTGAAGTGGATGGTAGTGTTGGAATTCCCAACCTGACATTTCAGTTCCAATATACTTTAAAAATATATTGTCACTGATAACAGTGCTTCAGAAAGATTTGGGATAAACTGAAAAGTCTAAGGTAAATTAAATCTTGTTTTCCTAGACTGGAGGGATTCACTACTTAAACACATTCTAGGGTGGATTTTCTCCTTTTTTTTTTTTTTTTTGAGGGATGGAGAAAATAATTTTTTGTTAAAGAGATGTGTCACCCTGAATTTACCTAATGGAAAATTTGGGGAAGGGGCCTATATTTAGACTCATATATTTACTGAAGGTTGAATTAACCTCTTCCTTTCATCTGCTTCAACCTGAGCTGGTGTTCATTCAGATAGGCCCCTCCTAGGTGGGCCACACTAAGCCTCATAGCTCCTTATGAATTTCCACTGTAGTCATTGGAGGAAGGCAATAACCAGAGCCACCAAAGCAAAGATATGGGCACTGCAGTGCCTTCCAAGGCACTTCCAGGTATGATCCAAACTGGATCATACCTAGGGGTTAAGTCTCAGCACTATCACTGCTACAGCCCAAGTTTGATCCCCAACCAGGGAGCTAACCCATATATGGCAAAGCAGACCTTTCCTATCTCATCTGCTGCTGCTCCCTTCATCAGTGTATTTCAGTCCATCTAACTGTTCTGTTCCCCACTCTGTCTCTGGTGAATCCTCTTACCACCCCACCCCACCCCACCCGCACCTCTGGCCTACATCCCAGTTCTTTTATGCCAAAAAAAAAACACCAGACTGGATCTAAGCACAATAGAAGCAAAGTGACCCTGACAGGAGAGGCTTTCTAGGAGAGGGATTTTTTTTTTTTTTTTTGTATACCACTGCTCCCATAAAGTGCCAACACCTCAAATACCTGAACTTGTTCTTTGTCTGCCTCTGAGGGTGGGAATTATGTACTAGGTGAACTGCCCTATAAATGGTCATTCTCTTACCCTTTGGGAATCTTCCAATGCTTAATAACTTAAAACCTTACTTCTTAGATGACACACTAACCTGAACACATTGCATGGTTATTGCAGAGTAAAAAAAAACTCTCAAAAACAGGAAAAAACAGTTTCTAAATATAGTTTAAGAACCAAACCCTGGTGTCTAGACTTGGGAGCTAAGCCTGCCTACACTTTTCACTAGCTGTGTGCCACTGGTAAATTCCTTCGTATCTCTGGACTTATTTCCTTGATGTAAAAAAGGGGGAATAACTGTGCTCCCATCATAAGGTTGTCAGGAGGATAAGAAGAGTTAATGCATACCAGCATGCAAAGTGCTGTGTCTAGCGAGAGAGCCCAAAGGGGCTGGTTCACAGGTCTAGAAATGTATCTGCCAAAGAGTTAACATTAGCAACCTCTAGAAACTAAGATTGAGTGATTTTCTAGTTTTGTTTCTCTGTGTTTTTTTTTTTTATTTTTTTCATATTCTCTCTCCCCTCCTGCATTAGAAACTAACTTGTAATTACAAATGAGTGTCCTTGATGAAGGAAAAAAAAAATCAGTAAAGTTCCCAGGGTTGACAGGCAAAAGAGCACCATGACAAGGGGACAATGGGCAGAGGACTCCAGGGGCAGTGTGAATACAGGACGCATTTGCAAGAGCCCTGTGGCTCCGACGGTTGCCGGAGGTAAGGATTTAGAAAATCCTTCTGCTTTTGAAGTGATGGTCCAGCAGCTGGAATATGTGCCTGGTTTATCCCACATTTGATAGGCCAGGCAGGGCTCACATTAGATTTCAGCTTTGATGCTCCTGGGTATGGACCTAAGGGGGCCACACAGACCATTCCGTGGGCAAAGCCAGCTGAGGCTGTGGTGTTGATAGGGCGAGGGCAGGCTCATTCCTGAACTTGCACAGCTCCCCAGACCTCTCAGACAGGAGCCCTTCCTTCATTTGCATGTCTAGGTAATTACAACTCATAAAAGTATCTAACCCATTAGTTAAAACCCGGCCCCAGCATTTGACTCTGACCTCCTGCAGCAGCCTGGGCCACACGCTGCCTCCATGCCGCCTGATTTGTCCTCAATTTATAAGCAGCACAACCTATAAATAGAAACCCTTTTGCTAAGTTCCCCAGGAGGCATCAGCAGGTTTTCCAGCTTGTATGTTTTCTTTTCTTTTTTTTTTTTTAAACCAACATGGTAGGCTTATTTTCCCTGCCTTCTGCCCCTCTAGCTCACCTCTCGTTCCCGGTGTGGGCATTCCAGCTGGCTTGTGGTTGGGGCCCCCGCACATGGGCCAGGCATGCCCAGATTGAGTTCCAAGAGCAGCCCCTGTCTTGGTGAGGAGTCCCCACTCACCTGTAGATCCGGTACCTGGTGGTGAAACCCTGGCGGTACCGCTCCATGAAGTCAGCATACTCCTGTGCGCGGTGGAAGGGCCCCCGGTCCGTGAGCAGCCAGTCCAGGGGCGGCTGGCTGGCCGAGGAGGCATGCTGTTCGGGGACCACAGCGGCAGCCGTGGCCGAGACAGCCAACACCCAACCGGGGAGGCCCAGTGCCAGCAGGGCTGCCCATGGGGCTGCCGCCGGCCAAAGCCCTCTAAACCGAGTGCCACACTGCCACCTCATGCTTCTCCCGGGAGGTTGGTGTCTTCATTCTCTCGCCACACTCTCCCCCTCTGTGCTGCTCCTCCAGGGCTCCTGGAACTAGAGAACAAGGAGATGGGTCAGTGGATCACCCAGGGCAGCGCCCCTCCTACAGAGCCCTCATCTTAGTAACCCATTTTCAGTCCAGGCATCGAGTGAAGTGCTGGATGTGCATTGCATTTAAGTCTTAAAATAATCCTACAGGAAGCACCATTGTCAACATTTTACCAATGAGATGAGGGTTAGTAAGATGAAGAAAAGGTGCTTTAAGTTCATGCAGATTTCAGGTGAAAGAAACCAGAATTTTGAACTCTGGTGGTCTGACTCTTAGCCTGGATAGTATGTTACTCCAGTGTTTCTGTGTTCACAGCCTCAAAGCTGTGGACCTTTAGAAGGTCCACACCTTTAGAAGCTCTTTATTTTCAGGTGCGCAGCATGCCCATTTCTCACATAGAAAACTGGGGCAGAGAAGTTGAGAAATCCCCTCACTGCTCTGAAGCTGGGTGTCCTTGGGTGAATCACATCCCTTTTCTGGGTTTACTTTTCTCTTACAGAAAATAGAGATTTGTGGGGCCTCCCTAGTGGTGCAGGGGTTAAATACACAGATATAAAGTTATCACCAGCCACTGCAGCACGAGTTTGAGACCTGGCTCGCCAGGGAGCAACCTATATGGCACCGCAGACCTCTCCTGTCTTGTTCGCTGCTCCCCTCAGCAGTGTATTTCAGTCAGTCTTCCTGTTCTGTTCCCTGCTGTCTCTGGTGAATCCTCTCACCCCCCCCCCCGCACCTCTGATCTACACCCCAGTCCTTGCATACATAAATAAATAAATCTTTAAAAAAATAAGAAAATAGAGATCTAACTAAATATTAGTAAGCCCTCTCTAACTGTGAACAGCTGACCCATTCTTTTACAGAGGGCAATGAGGGGATGGAGTGAGAACAGGAAATCAAATGGCCTGGAAGCTATCATTAGAGGAGACCCAGGCATAAAGGATATCAGTGTGTTCTCTCTCCTCACCATGCACCACGCAAGGCCCCTGAGGGCAGAGCTGTGTCTGGCTCTTGTAGCCTCCTATCCTAGCTCCTAAGAGTGTACAGCCAGCCTTCAAAATACTTCTGGAAGCAATGAAGGAGTGCATTCCTGCTCTCTCTGATTTGGAGGGAAAGTGCCAGGAAAAAAGTATCTTGTTTCTTCAAACTCCTGGCTGTCCATGACATGTCACAGGTGCTTGATTACCAGTGTCTGCATTTTGTCTAGGGATAACCATCACTCAGGCAGATGTAGGGGGCTGATTTTATACTGTGGGGGTTCTTACAATTGCATTCATTTTTCAATCTCTAATTTCTAACACATGCTGTGAGAGTCTTGCCCATCTTCTTTTGCCAGTGCTACTTCAATGTGTTCTAGGAATGACTTCCAACCCCCAGCACCTGTAGTTTGTTTCTTGAGAATGTTCCCTGACTTCTAAAACCCAGAAATAGGCTCCCTGGGGATGCAGCAGGGGGTGTTAATTTCCTGGTACTTTGGCTCCTGAAAGGGCAGGCAAAGTGGGCTTCAGAATTCAATTGATGCCCACTTCTGGAGTTCCCCAGGGAACTCTGGGATGGCTCCAGTTCAACTAAACCATAGACTTTCCTTGGATTAATGTGCACCCTGAACTGGCTGCTCAGAGGCTGGGATGATGTACTAATCCTGGGTATTCCCTGTCTTGGTCTGAGATCCAAGCCTTGGCATTTGCACAGGATGCTTTCCCAAGAGTTGCAGTCTCTGCTTATAAGGATGGAGGTACAGCAACATGAGTGCCTGGCCTTCAGTCACTCCTCTCCTCCACTAATAGTAGATTCTGATCACCTACTATGTGCTGGGTGATTCTGAAAAGTTGACCCATTAATTCTCAGAGTAACTTTGTTTGTAGAGGCATTATTATTATAAGCTTGGGACTCAGAGGAGTTGGATGAGGAAGATGTGGAGGTAGCATATGAATGTAAATCTGACTCTAAGTCCAGCCCTTGCTAAAGAATGTTGTGCTAGGGCCTCCCCAGTGGCGCAGCTGTTGAGCGCTGGGTTGCGAAGCTGCCCGCAGCCTCTGCAGCACCAGATGGATCCCCAGCCACTGGGCGAGGGTCCCACATGACGCGCAGACCTCTCCTGCCACCCGCTGCTCCCCTCAGCAGTGTACTTCATCGGTCTGCCTGTTCTGTTCCCCACTCTGGCTCTGGTGAATTCTCTCACCCTCCCGCACTTCTGACTATACCCAGTGTTCATATAAATAAATAAATAAATCTTAAAAATAAATAAAAATAATGTTGTGCTAACTGAGGAGCTTGGGCAGGCAGAAAGACAGACCCTCACTTAATGAACTGGTTGACACAGGGGCTGGAAGAAGAAGAATGAGGCAACACCTGCCCTACTGGATCCTAAACATTGTAAAATTCCAATAACTAAAATAGGTAATGCTGGAACACAGATCAATGAAATAGGATAGATAGTTCAGAAATGGACCTTATTATTCTTATGGAACTTAATATGTTTTAAAAAGCATTATAAACTAACGGGGTTGGGGTAAAACATTTTATAAATCATATTGAGAAATCAGTTCCAGAGGGATTAAAAAGTTAACTATAAAAAATAAAACCATAGAAAGTAGACAAATCCCTAAGTTTTTATAATAAGTCTAGATTACTTTTAAATCAATGGGGGAAAATGTCATAAACTACAAAGAGGAATCAGTTTGTAAATGGGGGGTAATATGATGAGGATTCCCAAAATATTTCTCATTTAATCATCCAGGCATTCATTTATTGAGAAACATAAATTGAGGACTCCCAAATGCCAAACACTATGTGAAGCCTTGACAATACAAAAGCAAGTGTTCTTATATTATCTGAAACACTGCTGTTAGTGATTAACTCCTCTTATAAAACTTTTGGGTTTTATTTTTTTATTTTTAATTTTTTTAAAGATTTATTTATTTCTACATACAAGAGCTGGGGGACAGGCCAGAGGTGCAGGGAAGAGGATTCACCAGAGACAGAGTGGGGAACAGAACAGGCGGACAGACTGAACTCGTGCTGTAGTAGCTGCGGACAGCTTCACAGTGCTGAGGCTCAACCCCTTGTGCCACCAGGGAAGCCCCAAAACTGTTCATTTTTAAAGGCATGCTGATGAAGGGAAATGGAGGGTGTTCATTTTGGAGATCAGGGCTACTTGATACAGCAGGCCCACATAATGAACATAGGGAAGACATGCACAATGGTGGAAGAACGCTATGGAAGGCAGGATCTAAAAGACACCTGAGATTGCTATGTCTTTCTGGGCATGCCCTGTATAATCCCCTTCCTTGTGAGTGGGCAGGACCTATACTGTGATGGGCTACAGCTCCCATGATCAGATCACTATTCCACTGACTTTGAATTAATCAAAATGGAAAGTACCTGGGTGGGCATGACATAATCAGGCAATTTTTTTTTTTTTTTAAGTCTGAAAAGTCAGAAAGACAAACTCCTGCTGGCTTGGAAGAAAGCCAGCAACCATGCTGTGACCTGTCTCGGGGGACCATGTGGCAAGGAACTACAGATGGCCTCTGGGAACTGAGCAACACCAGGGTAAGAACATGGGGACTTCAGCTGCACCATCACAAGAAAACAATTCTACCAATAACATGAGGCTGGAAACACACCCTGCGCCACACAGAAGAATTTCTTTCTGGCTGCCATCTTGGCCTGTCTGGTAAGACCCCGAGCAGGGGGCCCACCTAACCGTGCCTGGACTCTTGGTCCACGGAAACTGTGACAGAGTAAATTTGGGTTGTTTTCTACTACTAAGTTGGTGGCAACAGCAAAATAATACAAATACAAATACACCGTTCTCCTATCTGTATAAGGCCTGGCCTGGAGATGGGGTTCTTGTGCTCCCAGAAACCCGGCTGTTATCCTCGGCATGAGAAAAAGCTGGCATGGCTTGAGCAGAGCAATTCTGATCACAAAATCTAACCTCCACAAAAAAATTGTGATCACAATTCTGATCACAAAATCTAATTCTCCACAAAATCTAACCATTTCCTCTGAATCACACCACACCCACCTCCCCTCCCGTTGGAGACCAGGTCTTCTGTTTGGTATTTCCAGCACACACACCGAACAGGTCCTCAACTATGTGTAAGGAATCAATTCCTTGTGTTCCATGGAGGCATCAGTGATGATTCATGGCCTGGCCCAGCCATGGACCCTCCTGGTGCCCGGCTCTGTAATTCATCTACTCATCCAGGGTTTTCTAAGGACAGGTGAGCACATATGTGTGAGGAGCTGCTTGCTCTTTGAAAGAAGCGAGCTATATTAAGGCGACGTGTGCTTCTTGTCATTCTCTGTTTGTAATTATGCTTTTTTCAGAGCTCACAATGTGCTGGAACCTGCCTGGTTAGGGGAGTATCAGCGTTAGAATCAAATGATTTTGATTGCTGGGCCAAGTCTGCTGAGCGCAGCAAGAATGCCTGAATCAGTGCTGAGCTCCTCTGAAAACCCAGCCTCGAATCCTATGGTTTCCGCTTCACTGGTTTCCCTCAGGATCTTAAGACGTTTTGACTAAAAAAATCTCTTTTCAAGAAAGAAAAGTTTTAAAAAGGTTTCAAAACTTCCTTTAAAAAGAAATCCCTAGAACATATTCCCTCGCCTTTAAAAAAGACAAAATAATTTGCTGCATTGACAGTTGTGTAAAAATTAGGCTTTTTAAGGGGAATGGCTTTCGGCCATTTCCTGTTTATGCTCCATAAATAATATCACTAGAAATTTTATAATGGCAACCTGTCAAGCAAATTGTGACTGTGTAAATTCTCAGGCATTCTAGAAGCACTGCTAATGTCAAGCAGGTTAAAACAATGAGCATCATCCTGATGAGGCTGCCATTTACCCTTTTGTCCTAACACTGCTATCAGATAAACCTCCATGTGAGTCTGTTAAAGGAATGGCTGAGCTAGCTCCTTGATGAAAAAATTATAAACTTGTAAAAGCCAAATAGTTTCATTTTCTTAGATTGTATTTGAGACAAAGTTTCAGACCTACA